CCCGAGCACACGGCGCCACAGCAGCGGGGCATCTCGGGCGTGAAGAGTCATCATTGTCGATGCAGCCGATGTGGGCCGCTCTCTGGGCGCTTCCGTATTGTTTGTGCGTGTGCAGGTGTGTGTGTCTTTCGGTCGGGCTGCATAAAGACATCTGCCAAGCAGAGCTATGAATAATGAGCGGGAGCTGTCAGACATGGCAAGCTGATCTAGACAGCTTAATCCGGCAGACATGACAAGCTGATGCTTCTCGGCCTGCCTCTCCCTCTCTCCCTCTCTCTGTTAATTCTCTCCTCCCATTGAGCTTTAGAGTGACAGGAGTGTCTTGAGTCAGACGACAGACGTGGCCCACAAAACATTTCCACAGCTTATCAGATTTACTGCTTTCATTTTAACCATTCTGAACGGTGGTGGGAGGCAAAACCCAGCCATTTTCCAGACTGTTAGTTTAAGCACACTTTTTAAGATGGTTATTTTAGATGGTACTTGTATTCTTCATAAAAGCCAGTTTGTAAAAAATAGGGGGGGGGGGGGGGGGGGCAGGTGTTTTTAGAGTGTCAGGCGTATGCTGGGTAAGAATTGTCGTGAAGTCTCGCCTGCTGGAGATATATGCATTCATCTGTCCAGCCGACCTCAAACCTTCCTCTCTTTCTCGCTCCTCAATTAATCTCCCCATACCCCCCACTCGCCTACTTGGTGCGGGGCAGTTGTCATATCACACGCAAGACCTGCGTGTGGATGCACACGACGGGCGAGTGCAGTGGTGAGATGAGTTAGACTGGGTTTGGGGGGCGAGTGACTGTAGACACTTTCCCTCTCGTGCTCTGGTCCTACTGGTTGATTGCTGGCCGGGATTGTCCCGACTCGTGGTAGGGCTGATGGGAAGTGTTGGTGTGGTAGATGGTAGTTGAGGTAGAGGTTAGGAGAGCTGGGTCTTGTTTGGTTATATTGAAGGTTGGATTCCGGCGGATTCCTGGTTGAGAAAGGGTGGAGGGCTTCCGGTTTGGGCATGGAGTGGGTCGAGATGAGGGTCATCAGAGTTCGTGGTTTTAGGGGTGTTAACATGGGTTCTTACAGCTGCTTGCTTAGTAGTCTCATAACTACAGGTTCCCTGATTACCTTTATTATTTATCTCTACAGTTGTATAAATAATTACAGGATTTCGGTACTATGATCCCGCAATAAGATATCGTCAGAGTCTTGTAACTCTCTCAACCAATAAATTCAGCTTGGTCTCAGTGTCGGAGATGCTGGCAGTTGCGAGTTTGGTTTCGACTGTCGTGGTGGAAAATTGGGCATTGTTCACTTTTGAATGGAACCCAAAGTTGAGAGCTTGCTTAGCAGAGAGCACTTCAACAGCCACTTCCCGTTTAAGCGTGCATATTGGAACTCCGAGGAAATAACCTTGTGACACAAGCCTGGTATGAATTGACACAAGCCTGGTATGAATGTGCAGCATATTTCTTTATCCCACATCAAACACAGGCTCTGTGTGTGAAGGTGTATCAGTGATATTACTCCCCTGCCTCAGCAGCCGCTGATAAGGTGACATCAAGCAACAAATTGAACCCCCAGCTGATCCAGTTACTCAGTCAATCATAATGTATGAACTAGGATAGACTGATTATGATGGTTTTTTGTTGCTGAATAAAATAAATTGAAAATGTGTACATTATTTACTCATAAAACTATGGACGGCTATATTTATTTCTCTAAATTTCCAGGTAAGAAATGCTGCTGGGCTTTCTTCACTTTTTTTAAATATAATGTTGAAAAGTTAAATTCTGAAGCATTTAAATATATTCTTAAAGTACCCAGCTCTTTTACTCAAAGGTCCAACATTTAGTATTTAGTTGTGTAGTTGCAGATTGCAGCCTTGGTTCACCCTCCTCTTCCAAGCATGAAGGAGCAACTACAGTGGGCACAAAATGCGCTAAAACTAGCATTTGGTTTGTCCCTTCTGGGCTACTGGTAGAAACATGCCGGTCCAACATGGCAGACTCTGTAGAAGAGGACCTGCTCTCTGTAGATAACGGCTTATTACGAAAACAACCTAAAAAGATTCCCTTTTTTCAGGTGATTATATGCCAATGAAAACATCACAGCTATGAATATTATATTCCATTTCTGACAATAGATCCATGTTAGTTTCTCCTTAAGGCAAGGGTGAAGCAAGGGAGTTGTGATCT